TGGATTGCTTTGTGATTAATATTGCTTTATATCACCACATTATTTATTTTTTTATTTTATTTATTCTTCTTTTAATTTCCACTTTTATTATTCTCGATTTATTTTTGTAATTTGGCCTCTCACTGCTCTATAATGTACTCTAGAAAATAAATGTACAATAAACCTTTTTTGGGGGAAAATATCAGTAAAAATACCTGAAAAAAGAGCGTGTGTTAGCTGTGAAGCTAACGAGATCGACATCAGCTAGTCACAGGATGTAATAACTGATAAAGAGAACCATGTTAATGCAGCACAGACTGAATGTTGTTTATTCAGGAAGTTAATTAACTCGTTAGCGCTCGTTGCTTTTCTTCTCCTGGACTAATCATTCAGGTCAAACGCAGCAGTCAGCTTCAGCTTAGAACCGTTCAAAGATAAATAAACTAATCCTGGAAAGATGCTGAAAGCAGCCGTAGACATGGTTCTGGTTCTGGGAGTTTGGTCGCACGAGTCATGTCCACCTCGGAGGTTTAGTTTCCGTTACTGGACATAAACCCGATTCGCTGTTGTTTCAGCTGTTTTAAAGTCCGTCCACCTAAACCCGACTCTCTTCTCCCCGTCAGAACAAAACCTGGACTTCGACGAGACCGACGACTCCATGTTCTCCTCGTACCCGCCGTCGCTGCCGCCGCCCTCCTCCACCTCCCTGGACCCGCTGCCGGACGACGCCCTGCTGAGGGTCAAGCCGCTCCACACCTACTCCAGGAACAGCAGCCAGGGCCAGAACCCCGCTCCCAACCAGAACTCCTCTTCCAAACCTGAGCCATCCGAACCAGCTCCTCCGGCTCCGTCGCAGTCCCCCACCGGCTCGGCTCCTCCTCCTGCTGCTCCTCCTCCTCCTGCTGGGTCCTCCTCCAGCGACGCTACCTCCTCCGATCCAGCGCCTTCCTCCGTCCCCCCGCCTCCCGCTCCCCCTGCCCCGGGCCCGGCGGACCCCCTCCCGGCCGGGGCGTCCTCGCGCAGGTCGCGGGACCAGGTGGCCCAGCTGGCCACCCAGAGCCTGCAGCAGCAGCGGGCCAGCCGGATGCTGCTGACGTCGGTGTCCCGGTCCCTGGAGGTTCTGGCCCAGTCGGTGCAGCTGCTGGTGGAGAGCCAGCAGGAGTTCGTGCAGGAGTCTCTGCTGCTGCAGCGCGAGACTGTGGACGTGCTGCGGGACTTCTCCAACACGGCGCTCACCATGCTGAGGGACAAGGCCAACAGCGGACACCTGGTGGCGCACCACCCGCCCCGCTGAGTCCTCGGCCAATCAGAGGACGGCCACCGCTGCTTTCTCTTCCTGGACCCGAAGCACACAGACGATGATCTCACACTGAATCCTGCTTTCTGAAGAGCTGCTGACGTTTAGTTTTAGACTTTAAAAACACTCAGCTGACCGGACCGGCGCCGAGACGAAGACACACTAACGAGGCCGGGGCTCGGTCAGGTTCTGGTCTAACTGAACGGACTCGACGTGACTGTTTAGCGCCGATCCTGGAGCTGATCCTGGAGCTGATCCAGTCTGTGATGCGACGGCCGCTCTGGCAGATCTAGAATAAAAACTCTAACCCGTGTTCTGTTGGACTCGCTGCTGCTTCAGTCGGAGTTTGCATCATTTGTGGTTTTTTTTTTAAGTTTGATTTCAGGAACAAACGTTTGTCTTGTTTGATCTGAAATAAAGAATCGGTTTCATCTTTTAATCTGGCGGGAGAGTCGTGTTTCTAACCTGAAGCTGTTCTAACACTCACTTGAATTAGCATTGATATCATTAATACCACGCTGCCGGAGTGATAAACTTAATTACTTTAAGCTGTTAGCTAATGCTATGCTAGGTTGGCATAACAACAGCTATACTATGACATTTTTTCGACACGCCATACGATGACTTTGTTT